ATGTCAGGCGTGAAATCTCAATTGGAATTTGCCCTGAATAATCAGTTTTGGACAAATTTAGATACCTCAAATTTGTGAGCTTTCCGATTGCAGATGGAATGCTGTGGCCCACACTGCCAAGTTTGTTGTTGGCCAAGTTGAGGGTTTGAAGATGTTGGAGATCGAAGAGACTGCTCGAATTGTCAATCCCACCTGTGATGCATTCGCTGCTAATGTCAAGACCAACAACATTCCCGCTTGTACTGCAAGTAACACCAACCCAAGAACAACAGTCTGTACTTGAATTCCATGATATGACCTTGGTTGATGAAACTGGAGAATATCCAGTTGAATCATTATAAAATGTAAGGCTTTTCTTCAATTGGAGCAATGATAGTTGTTGGTTTTTAATACACTGGCTGTGAACTGCAGGGATGATATTAACACAGATGGCAGTGATGAAGAAAAGGAAGAAATATTGGAGCAGAGTTTTCATTTTGGATGAACTTTTAGTTTTAGAGACTCCGAGGGAAAGTGAAGAAATATGAATGCCTGTTGTGGCTTTAGTATGCAGGGTTGAATTGGTAAAAGGCCTCCTCCATTGTTGCTAGCTTGACTTTGAAGTCTTCTCCCATCCCTATCTGTAACTAGGAAAAATTGGACAGAAATAAAACAGGGGCAAGGACTTGACAAGTAACCATCACTGAAGAAAGTTGATACACATTTCACACTCACGCTTGCGTGCTCTGAGGTTCCCATGAGTGGTGCCACAATCTACATGTACCAGGTTGGGACTTGGCATATAAGGCTGTTTAATTCAACTAATTAAAGTGCTGAAAGAAACCCTACAAAAACCATCAGAGCCAAGTCAAAGAAAGTAGATGTTGTTAAATGTTCATGTTGAATTTCTGATCCGGTTAAAACGAACTGAAAATGTTACCATGAGAAGGTTATTTTGTATTTTTTCTTTTCTATAAAACTTTGCCGGTACGAGAAAAATTATTGAAAAATAAAGTTTGGAGTCACAAACAAATTAAACTATATGATAACCCTTCTGCCTTGGTCAATAAGTTTGAAGTTCCATCCTAGAAAGTCAACCTTTTGAAGCTCCATAGGCACAGTCTGACGCATGCCTATCTCTAATGGCCAACAATAGTTTTCCATTGCATCTTCACATTAAAAAAAAACCAGAGTGTGATAAAACTTATATAACTATTGAAGGAAGATAGAGCTTATGATACGGATCTTAGATACTCGAAATTCTCTCTTAGTCTTATATCACATTTATTCATCTTTGGAGCCTATTTATAGGCATATAGAATACATAGAATATTACCATAGTGGTAGCTTTTACATTACTATATAGGTAGAATGGGATGAGCACTTAGAAGCATATATGAGTGTGGTCGGCATCCATCTATTGCCTTATAATATTATAACACTCCCCCTTGGATGCTACCATACAGAGAATATGCCTCGTTAAAAACCTTGCCAGTAAAAACCCAATGGGAAAAAATATGGACGAAGGGAAAAAGAGTACACATTCAAATAGCTCTGTTTTATGCAAGAGGGGATCCTGATAAGCGTGCAACACTGCCTCATTAAAACCTTGCCAGTAAAAACCCAGTGGGATAAAAACCTGGACGAAGGAAAAAGAGTACAGTGTATAGAAACTTTGTTGATAGCACGCTCCCCCTGTTTCTGATGAATATCTCCCCCTGATAAGTATGCATCCATTTTACTGATTGTAAAGTCGGCGTAATCCAATCCCATGCACCAATTTCTGAAATGTATGTTTTGGCAGAGATTTGGTGAAAAGGTCTGCCAGATTATCATTTGAACGTATCTGTTTGACTTCAATTTCTTGCTTCTCCTGAAGTTCGTGTGTGTGGAAAAACTTTGGTGATATGTGTTTGGTCCTGTCTCCCTTGATGTATCCTGCTTTGATTTGAGTGATACAAGCAGCATTATCTTCATAGATGGCTGTTGGAGTATTTGTCACCAAAGGTAGATCGCATGTGCCCCGAATGTGATGAATCATTGATCTTAACCAAACGCATTCACGACCGGCTTCATGTAGTGCAAGTATTTCTGAGTGATTGGATGATGTAGCCACTAATGATTGCTTTATAGAACGCCATGAGATTGCCGTTCCTCCACATGTAAATACATATCCAGTTTGGGAACGACCATTGTGTGGATCAGAGAGATATCCTGCATCTGCATATCCAATAATGCTATGCCCATTGTTAGGT